GAGGAGACTGGCACTCCGTTAACGGAGGAGTCCTCCAGTATGTAAGAAACACGGGCATTCTGGTTCCAGTCAGCATCTGTGGCTTTGACTGTGAATATAGAGAGACCTGGTGTGTTGTTTTCTACAATGTAGGCCTCATATGAGCTCCTCTCAAAGACAGGTGCGTTATCATTAACGTCTGAGATCTGTAAGGTGAGAGTGACGCTGCTGGAGAGGGAGGGCACTCCCTCATCAGAGCAGGTCACAGTGATGTTATACTCAGAGGCTCTCTCTCTGTCTAAATCACTGTCTGTTACTAAACTATAGAAATTGTTAGATGTAAATTTAATTTCAAATGGAATATTTTCATTTATCACGCAATTCACTTTCCCATTATTTTCAGAATCAGGGTCATTTACGCTCATTAAAGCTATTACTGTCTTGCGAGCTGAGTCCTCCGGTATTGAGCCTGACGCTGAAATCATATTTACAACGGGGCTATTGTCATTCACGTCAATTACATCAATGATTAGTTTACTTGAGTCAGAGAGTCCACCTTGATCGATTGCTTCTATGTCGATATTATACGTTTTTTCAGTTTCATAGTCAATCGGACCATCTAACATCACATCACCATCACTATTAATATGAAATAACTTTGAAACTGTATCCATGCTATTTCCGATTACATAGGTCACCTCTCCATTTGTGCCTTTGTCTGCGTCAGAAGCCGTGACCTTAGTAACAAGTGTTCCCTTAACAGAGTTTTCTGTAATGCTTGCTTTGTAAACGGGTTTACTAAAAACAGGTGCATTGTCATTTACATCTAATACGGTAACATAGATTTTCATTGTTCCCGTCATTTGCGGTTCACCTCCATCTTCCGCAGTCAAAACTAAAGATATATGTTCTTGTTTCTCTCGGTCCAATGGCTTCTGTAAAAGCATTTCTACTTTCTTGCTTCCATCACTTTGTGAGTGCAATTTAAGAACAAAATTGTCACTCGGCTTAAGAGTGTATCTCTGCAGACCATTCAGTCCGATATCTGGGTCTATTGCTTTTTCTAGCATAAACTTAGAGCCGACGATCGCTGATTCGCTGATTTCAAACACTCTCTCCTCCTTTTGGAAAACGGGAGCATTATCATTAACATCGGTAATTTCAACCGTAACTGGGAATAATTCCAGTGGGCTCTCTAACGTTATTTGAAAATGTAAAGCACAAGGCGTTGTCTGTCTGCACAGGACCTCGCGGTCTATATTTTCTTTAATGAGGAGGACTCCTCTTTCTCTATTCAGCTCGATGTACTGAACGCTGTCTCCGGTATAGAGACGAGCTTTACCTGACCTAAGACGTTTGACATCTAAACCTAAATCTTGGGCTATATTGCCCACCAAAGATCCTTTCGCCATTTCTTCTGGAACTGAATAGCTAACCTGCCCGACCACATAACTGAGGCAGAAAATGGAGATTATCAGTACTTGCCGTTCCATTGTTCTGTCCGACACCGCTGTCACACCACGGCTATGTTGTTTTATTCCGTTTAACGATTAAAATTCCACCAAAATGAATAGAAAAGATAAAAAGGAATCTGTTTTAATCCACCCGTTACAGTAGGAATCCGTTTTAAGGTGCCCGTGAATTTGATCTGATTCCTAAACTGTGTGTCCTACGTCTGAGTATGCTTCGTAATATGCCGGGATGCTGACTGGATGGATGTGTTATTAAAGAGAGTCAATAACTTGACACATTGTGCAACAGCGGCGCGATGAGTTCACAAGGTGAAAGTACACGAGGCAAACAGTAGAAGAAGAAGGACAAAAAAGAAGCAGAAAAAAGCAAGCGCATGTCTATAATGAAAATGAGGAGGATGACAGAAAAACCAAACGGCGTTTTCTCATCTTAAGCAACACTGGAATGAACGTAACAATGGAAATTCATTCACACAGAATGAAAACGAGAGATTGTTGAAAAAAAAAAGAAGAATTTACTCCAGGCATACAAATATATACAAGAGGCGTATAAAAAGGACTAACAATGTAGAACTGTGCCCTATTTGTCACTGTCCAAGGTGCTGAATCGCTGTCGGACTCGCGTTTATTTTTCACAGAATAGTACCTCGCGCATACACGCAGATTAAAAAATATATATTAAACCCAAAAGACAGACCTCTATAGCAGAGTCTGGTTCATCCAGAAACACAAGTCTGGTGCAGACATCTTGATGCATGCTCAATCATCCAGGTAAGCAAATCCTCAAAAGTTAATTCTGTTCATCTGGACATAACGTTTCGTCACTCATCAGTCTCAGCTGACTGCAGATTTCCCCAATCTTATAAGCAGTACATTTGCATAATGACTGAAACTAGCACCACTGAAGGAACAATGGGCTGGGAGGTTCGTTCCTAGGAACTGAAGAAGTCACTTGGATGAGCGACAAAACCTTTCTCCCACTGAAACGCTACGTCAAGATGAACAGAATCACCAATCAGGTTCAGACAGAAAAAAAGTTAACACCTCAAAGTTGGCCAAATCATTTTTAACTAACCTCCAGAGGAGAGTCAGAAGAATCTCACAAAAGTTGAAAACCATCCCCAAATAATGTTAAATACGTAGCAGTCTTTTTCATAACAAACTAAATGATATACTTATACATGTTACTCTCTAAGGTGCTGAAGAAAAGAAAGATTAACTAAAATAACAAGTTATTGTCCAGGGTGTACCCCGCCTCTCGGTTTATGACAGCTGGGATAAGTTTCAGCACCCCCGCAACCCCGAAAAGGATAAGCGGAAGCGAATAGATGTATGTATGTAGAAAGACGACAAAAGTGTAAATATCCAGAAAGCCACTTAAATTTAAATGGTGTGTATAACATTTTATATAAAAACTGTCTAAAATAAAAGAAGAATCTCACAAAAGTTGAAAACAATCCTCAGATAATATTAAATACGTAGCAGTCTTTTTCATATCAAGCTATATTATGTGGTTACATGTTGCTCTCCAAGGTGCTGAAAAAAAGAAAGACTAACTAAAATAACAAGTTATAAAGATATATTGTGCCATTTGTGATGTAATATTTATTCTAACCTCCAGAGGAGAGTCTGGTTCATCCAGGATGCTCTTTTCACTCTGTATCCGCTGCATCGTTCCTGTAGAACTGGGGTCCATTATCAGCACGTTCTGACTACCAGCTCTGCCGAACTTACAGTCAC